TTAATATATATATATATATATATATATATATATATATATTGTCAAAGACATTTTCGTATGAGTTCTAGATTGTAGGTGATGATTAGAAGGCAGGGATGTGCATTGTAGTATAGTGACTGTACGTATTGCTATAGGCAAGCCCTGTCTGGAAGAAGACATTTCGACCATAGCATTATTATGCGTACCCAAGTAGGTGATATATCAGTACACCTGGAGCACTATCGCGTACTTGCTTCCATTCAGTTGGCTCTTGTATGTCCTGAGCTGTAAATTGCCTGAAACCTCTTTGGCGTGGCCTATGCACATACATGAACATTTTTAACAAGGCAATATGCATACTTATTTGGAGGGATCATCTGAAACTTCAGACTTGCGGATAATGTAAGTTCTACTTCCCTGTGGCGGTATGTAACTTCTACACGCACATTCAATGCGCCAATGCGAGTGCTTGAGATAGTCACCGTAAAATAACTAAATATCTATCTTTTAAGAGATACATCCAAATATATGTAGAACACTCATAGGTAATTGCCAGATCTGTACATATAAATGTCGGGCGACTGCGTATTTCTTGCATATAGCGTGACACTAGCGCGTATAGAATGATAATACCGTTGCACTTTTCAAAGCACTCTTATAATTTCGCCAACGCACTACAATCACCATGTAATAGGGACTCTAGCGACAGGTATATCGTCGTTATTGTTTTACTTGTTTCTATTCCTTTTAAGCTGCTAGAGTAATACTGAATCGTCAGACTTTCCAATTGCTCGCTGCCTCATTCGAGCTAAGTTCATGAACGCAAATACAAACACAATTGCCATCCCATCCACACTGTAGTACACCACACACCTCTTGAGTACTTTTTCCTGTAGCAACAGCTCAGGAATGTCCAAAGTCCCGTTGCCCTCTCTAAACAGCTCCATATCATCTGATATTCTGAATACTGGGTGTATTCTATTGGATATGCCTTTCCGCCTGCTTTCCTCGAAATTGGCTGACTTGTGCCATCGTTTTCGATCCATCTCTTTATCCATGTTGTGTATCTCTTTATCTTTGTATTGCATATGTTGCTCACGAATACGGATTGTATTGTCGGAATATAAGACGTATACTATCATCAATAGCACAGCTAATGGTACTATAGTACGTCTTTTGGTCAACTTGCGCTTTGCGGGGAATTGCACCGTCAAACTCATCGTGTACGTTTGTATGAGAAGAGCGTGTGGTTTATACTGATATTAGGATCTAAGTTTTTGTAGAACGATTAAATCAGTAGTACTCAGTATATGCTTCATTGTGCTCCCATCATAGTATGCATATCTCCATGTCATTCGCAATCCAATACACCCCTATATACTGCATTACACTTCAATAAATACTAGAGAGATGGAATCTCCTTCATTGATTAGATTGGAGGGTTTCTATAGTTCCTGAGTCTTATCTTCAGATTGCAGTTTCCATGGTCTTGAGTGACGTCATTCATGACGTCATGTATTTTTGTTTTTACATAGCAAGAGAGCCATGGACTGAGGTTTCAGAATAAAATCGGCACGGATAATAAAGTTTGGACAAAAGACATCCGTGCAGTTTTGTATCTCCGAAACTCCGCGTTGTTTTCAAGTGCTAACTGTCCCCTGTTATTTCTAGCCCTGAATGACTGATCTCATTCCCAGATCCAATTACGCCCTGAAGGCCGAGATTCATCGGTAAATTATCATCTATCCACTGTTGCCCGCTGCTACTCTCCAGAACGGATAAACAAAGTACTCCTCAAATGAATATAAATGATTGCCCTAAAGGAAATCGGAGCTACGAGTATAGCAGAGTGCTGGCGCCAAGAAGATGAATGCAACAGTAACATACAGATCAATGTACATTGCATAGACATCTAAACTGTATGCTTATCTAGTAAAAACAGGTGAGTACGGTAGCTACGTGCGAATTGTCGCAGAACCAAAAAAAAAAGTAAAAATGGTATAATAATGAATCTCTGTTTTGCGTAATGCAAAAAAAACGAGCCTGCACCTGTCGCTATCTGCTTCATTTATTTTAAATAACAACGTCGTATATTGGCTATGTTTATCCTGACAAAGACGTATTCGATCCGAAAACATGAATGATACTAGAGTTTTGAATCAGTGTGTGGAATGAGATACCAGCTCGCCCGTGCCCTGTATGCACCATTCGTTTTGACATGCACCCCATCGCTTCGCAAACTGATATTCTAGATCGCCAGTTCCGAAGGGCCCTCCTTTTTAACCTGTTGTTTGATTAAATCCATCTGTTCAGGCTTGTCGTCCGCCTGCACCACTTTATCGGCCGGCTTGGTCAAGTGTTCCTCCAAGTGAGCTACTTTCTGCTTCTCAAGTTCCAGACCGGCCATATTCTTCTCCAAATTCTCCTCTAGTTCGGTCTCTAGCTTAGCCTTGTCATCGTCTGTGATGGGCTTTGATAGATTCACAATGTCTTGCTTCTCTTGTTCGGTGAGGGGTGGAGGTTCTGTTGAGCTGAGACCCAATTCGTACAGGATATATGGCATGCGTGTCCTATAGTGCAGGTGCCCAGGTACTAGGTGCGTCACATCCACATTTTCGATGACGCCAAGTGCATCCACTGTATCTAGTCTCGCTTCCGCGCTCACCTTCTCCCCGTCTGTCGTTTCAATAATCCCGCCGGGGAAATTTGTACCCCTGCTCAATTCTGGTTCCACCTTCTTACCATACACATTGTCGAGAATCACAGCATCCAGCCCAGCCACACTCGACTCGGCATTCAGCGTACGGTACACATAGCCCAAAATCCAATCAGTCTTGGAATAGGCATTCACAAACCTGCCTGATACCATTCCCCTGACTGTCGCCCACCGTGCCGAATCTCTGGGGATCGGACAGCCACACAACACCACTCGTTCCACTATACCGACCGCCGGCACCTTCCTCTTAGCCATATCCTCCAGCGCCCTGAAGATCATACGCGCCCCCAACCCAAACCCAACCAAAGTCACCGGTCGGAATCCCTGTACGCGCGCACACAAGGTGTCCGCCAAGATCAGTCCAGCCTGGTCTGCACGAGAAACACACCTGCTCCACGCATTGTCAATCACATCCGTGACATTCAGCAGCGCTACGGGCAGGGCTACGGCAGCCACTGCAGCATGCAGCACTGTCTGCGAGAGCACTTGGGTGGTTGCATAGCCAATAGCCTTGTTACTCAGCAGTTTACCCATGTACCGACTGATTCCCTCCAACTCCTCACTCTCCCAGAATACCGTATAAGTCTCCCCTACGGCGTCAATAGTCTTCCAAGGCAGTGCGTACTGATCCATTTTAGTTAATAGTGAATCCGACTCGTTGTCGGATTCGTGGCTGAGCAATCCAGAAACCGTAATCACAACACTCAAATCTTTCTGCTTGTCCTCGTTGGATGTATCGCGATTGGTGTGTGAGTTTAATAATCTGAGGGGTACAAAGTCAAACTCCTTAACCTCGCCTTTTCGATTGCTCATGGCCTGGCCGGTCAATTTGGCACCAGCCCCGCCGAATAATGTGGTGATCAAAACCACACCCCCTGTACTTGCGCTGCATTGAATCAAGAACATAGGAAATATCGATCAGACCATATGTACACATCGCTACCGTACGCTATCAGCTGGAAAATACTCTGAAAGACAGCAGCGCCTTTACAGAAGTGCGAGACCAATTATTATTTAAGTCTCAACCAATCAACAGACACATATATGCTGATCAAGCCCCATGTCCGGCCCCAACACGGCAACAAAATCTGCGGTGATAAAGAGTGCGGCCGCATTACATTCTGACCAGCAACAAAACGAATCCCGACAATAATGTCGCACATGCAAAACTCACATGCAAAACTAATTAATACTGCAAAACGCGCCGTTCCTGCGCTCAACACAGCACCAGCGCTTGCAGCTATTGAAGGTTCACTACAGATATATTACCCCCTTCTCACCACCCCTGTAGAAAACTCTCATGCATACACCCATTTGTACGAACACTATCAGTCTCTACTTGTATATACAAGTGACATCAGGATAAACACTCACCAACTCACTCCACATAATAGAACATACAGAAAAGCTGTTGTGCCCGCTCCCAATACAGCTCCAGCACCCGCGGCGATGAAGGGTGCTGCCAGCCCTGCAGTCAACCCAATAACCACCCCGCCTCCAATCGTAGCACCTGCGACAGCCGCGTACCTCTTCCACTTGGAATTTTTTTCTTTCATCTCGCGCTCGGCTGCTTCTTCTGCACTCTCTCTGGGGATGCAATGGATGGTATGACAGGTAAGCATTGCGATGAATGGCAAGTGCTGATTCGAGTGGAGGGGGGATGGGTACTTAAGAGCGAGGTTCAGATAGTGATCAGGGGGTACCGTAGGTCATAAATTCGCGGATCTTCTTGACAGTGAAGAAAGCGTTTGCGAGAAAAAAAATAGAGACTTCAATGTGCCATACCGATAAGCAGTGCAAGACTAGAGAGCGCCTTTGTCGCAAAATTATCCAGCCCAACAATTGTACAATGCAATTCAACGACTACCAAAATCTCGCGTGATAACGAGCCTGAACAAAACGTACTGGAAATCGGACAGCAGCATGTGAGCCAAATTGTTTTCGAAGTTGAAGACCTGTTGCCATTCCACTCCAGTTGCTGCCACCACTCGCCTGATGAGTGTGCGCGATCGAGCGTCGTACCGTCCAGAAATCAGACACAGGCAAACCAGATCTTGCATGACGAGCCAATTTGTTCCCTGGTTGCAAAATCAAAGTGGCGCAAGCAGAATGTAATCAGACATAGTGGACTATACTCTCCCTCTTTAGCCACCACGTCTCGTATTGATGTAGCGCAAGCATACAAATTTCAATCAAATTAGAGCATATCAGATCTATGATGATGATTTAACTTACTCATGAAGATTACACCATATGAGGAGAGCAGGCATGACACAGCCAGAGAGTGCGCGACCCGGGTTTCGACGAAGCACAGCGCCAAAAAAAAAAAGGACGATAGACATGGCACAAACTAAGCCCACTAAAGTGGTGGAACCAAGCTCAGTACCACAGTCACAGTGTTTTGGCGAACAATGCGTCACCGTGCATCCGAATACAACAGTAACTCGCAGCTATACACACAAGGGCACTATTTGGTCGGATACGTTTATTGTGATCGTGCGCACTTACCTTGCTGCTGTCACTTAGAGAGTCTGAAAACATCTGAAAGTCTTTCTCCACTTCGCCCTACAAGGATTGAGTTTTATCAATCAGTTATGACACGACAAGAATGAGCTACAATACACACGTGTGAGATACGCTTGTATTAATAGTGAGATGTGTGGAAATGGTAAGGCTGAGTCATAATTCATAAATTACGCTGCAAATGTCCATTTCTAACTGAACCCTGTTTCATGTCGCGAGATATACATCGAAACACTTAACTAGCCATATCTCATTTTTGAATCTTGGAAAAGTGAATCCTACAATGACTGACTAGACACTCCCGATGTGTTGATATGCGACCAAACTCTCTCTCGCTCACTCAAATACTCAAGCATTCGCTGAACAGGTCTGAAGTAGAATGTGGGCACCCATAAGGCTTCACAGCGCAGCCCACACCACCAAACAGCCCAACGCTACAGACAAAAGCAAACGTATACAAATTAGCCCTTGCTAGCTCCGAAAAGATAGCAAGACCCAGCACATCTCAATTCCCCACTCCCGGTCCATTCCCTGCACCACCGTTACATTCGTATAATAAACAAACATGTGTGTGTCTATACATACACTCGCCAAAACTAAGTGAGTAACATACGAGACACAAGACCGTGCTTCAACGTGCACAAGCGCCCACTCACCTCTGCCACCAGCTGCAGCGATGCCAGACGTCCCGTCGGTAGCTTGGTACGATCTGCCAGAGTCTTGAACAACGCCATATGGAAACTATTGTGCAGATCCCGAGCAGACTTTTGGTGTTCATTTAAGCTAGCCACGTTTTTGGAACTGTAGTAGGGTATCAGACTAGCAACAAGTCCTACGTAGAAATATCGGTCCTGTTCGGAAAGCTCTTCCAGGCGCTTTTCAGTCTACGAAGGAAGAGATTGTATCGATGAGCACTTATATAGAAAACATATGAAAATGTTCATGCATTGAGTCAAGTTCTAACATCTGATCTCTAACTACATCTTAAAGGACACTGTATGCCAAGTTATTTTGCTATTTGAGGGTTTGTGCATCATTTGCTCCTTGACAAAAGTATAAATGGCTCAATTCGACCACGAAAACTTTATCATTGACAATTCAAAATACTTTTACAAGCCTTCGAATGCAAAATACAAATTAGCCGGGGCACATAACGAAGCGCGAGTATGAGGTTCGAGGGAATACCACTTGAGAAGGAGATGTTGACTATCAGTGTGGAACTCGAACGCGCGCAGGTACTCGTATAAACAAAAGCACTGTTCACGAGTGCACTTGCAGCGTTTATAATACGTTGCACACTCAAGCCTGTATTGAATTTGTAGTTTGAATGCACACCACATATTCTGTAGGTTGACACTCTGATCTGAGGAGCGATCTTCTAACAACCTTACATACACCCACAAAGATCTAGTTGACACCTATCAACACCACAACAATCAAATGAGGCAATATGTAAGCTATGCCTAGTGAATAGATAAGATTTTAAGATTTGGAGTCGCGAAATTGCAATAGCAGCATATATATTGGTTAACAAAGACGTGCCCAATATACCCATACGTGAGGAGAGTGTCTCAACCGTGAACGTTGCGGGACTGGAACGTAAATTATCCGTTTTAGACCCGCAATGTCAGAGGCGTGAAAGTATCGCTAAAAGAGTGCTGACGATCATATACACCTAAATATATTTGTCCAAAAAGAACTTTTGTTAGAATATGCAAGCACTGTTTGGGAAACTAGTCTATTCAAAATTTAAGAAATTGATATAATCAAAATTTGTTGTCACGCGATAGCTGTGTCACAAACGTGTTTATTCCAGGTATATACAAACCGAGTGGGGCAACCACGCGAATGCGTACAGAAGTGTGACCGATCCAAACAGACAACTGTCTGTTGATCAACGTGTTCTATTGTAAAGCATCGTGAGCAAGCTGTTGAGGTTTGGACCGGGTGTGCATGTTCAAGTGCATATTTACTAAAATTAACGTGAGAATACTCTTCGTACGATACTACCCAGGCTCACTATACGAAGTCTTCGCTCACTTCTGAAATACATTCGCCCTATCGACAAACAATTAACAAGAGAAAGAGCTGCAGCTCGACAAAGGTTGTATGAATAAATTGGATACATATACCCTACACTACAGATGACATCAGCTATAGGCGTACATACTGGTTAGTGTGTACATCGATTCTCAATTCTCAGACAGTTTAATAAGTGACATACATACATGCGCAGAACAAAACTAAGATGTTCCAAGTTGCAAATATTTAGCACAAACACCAAAATATCCTATCTGAAGACACTATGTTTCGTCGGTAGTACAATAAAACTAGTATTGTGACTTTTAAAATATATATTTGAATAGAGAAACGAAACACTGCAACAACAACGTTCCGGTTGATATATAGTACTTGTTCTTTCAACACCTAGGAGTCAGTAAGTAGACGGTATCATACACAAAAGTAGAACATCGGTATATACAATCAAATTCTTTTGCATGACAGTCAAGTTATTTTCCTATTCCCTGCTCAAACCACAATATAGTAATCCAGCACGCAATCACACTGCTCTCACACACCAGTAACTTCCAAGACTCGGCACCGTCTTCGGCCTTTTTGGGCTTCTCATCATTCGAAAATAACCCCATCGTTAGTCAAATCGATATACTAAACTGTGCTACAAATCTTCGTGGACACAAGATTGATAGAAAAACGCAATATATTAAGTATACTTAGATGTGATCTATATGTATATATGTATATATTTATGTATGTTATTTATGTATGTTTAGGTGCACATATATATACGTACTATGTACATGATTAAGTTGTGATCACGAAGTCAACAAGACGAGAATCATGATTTTTTATTTCCTTTTATTCCGTTTTGTTGTTTTTTTCAAAACAATATACAATACAATGCAGTATGCTGCTTGTAAATATTTGTAAATATTATTTTGCAATTTTTTACTATAAAAAACCCAAAAAGGATTGATGAAACAATCATATTTATTTGTTTAAATTTTTTGGAATGCAAAGAGGCTTCCAGTGCACAGGTTTTCACTGGCTAGTGGATTTCGCACTTTTTGTGTTGCGTTGCTGAATGCTGACAGGCTGACAAAGTCAGACTGCAAAATGTTTTGAAATAGTCTCGTGACCGGCTATTCGGCGAATAACCAGTCAGAGACAGTGACGGCTGTTCTCTGAAAAGTTTTGTTTTTTTCTATATTGTATGTGTAGGAGTCGGCAACTCCTAATCGGGAAAATTCAGGATTCGCGGGGGAATCCGAATTTTGGATTGTTTTTGGGTCTGGGACCATTCCCAAAATTTCAGTGCACAATGTCGAAAAATTGTGGCCAATGAATTTTGATGAGTCATCACCACATGACCCTTGCGAAACGTCTAAACGTAGAATTAATGCGAAATCGCGAATAGGTTAGAGCTTAAAGTTCGTAGACATTACGTAGCCATTTAGGCTTAGTTGTAGACCTTTAGACCGCTACGGGTCTGTCGGAAATTGTATAAATAGGGTAGTATAGTAGCTTGCAATCCTCAGACTTTATCACAAAGGATTAAGAAAGGACAGAGGAGGATTGCTAAGACTACCTGAATTATAGGATCCCTGACCCTAATTTCCTGTCTAATATAGCCGACACCGTACGACTATCTATTAGCAAGTCTTCTCTCTAACCTCTCTTGCTATCCCCAATGCGCCGCACTGCAGCCGCATGTCATTCTTGTTTGCATACCGCCTGCATGTGGCCCTTTTTACCACACTTTCGAGAACAGGCCAGGGATCAACAGCAGGCTGTATCCCTACCCGTGCTATCCCTACCTGTGCAATCGAAGACGTCACCTCTCGCGAGTCCTGCTGAATACCTAACGCCCCATCCCCTGTTGCCGCTGATGCCACACTGGATGTATTGACCAAGGAGAAAAGCTGGTATTCTTGAGCAGCGGCCTCGGCTTTGTTATCCAATGCCCGCACTAACGCTACTCAAAGGAGGCCGGGAGGATCATACCGAGTAATGAACACTGCGGCTGCCGCCGGGTACACGCAAGTACGGACCAGTTTACCTTCTGTCACTACGACCACTATCGAAGACTTGGGTGGACTAACCTTGTGCTTCGGTTTGTCTGGCGCCAACACATCATTTGCTGCCGCATCACATTGCGTCCACAACGCAGGACAAACTCTAAACTTCTGGGGTCCAAGACGACGCGCCAGCGTGACGAAAGAAGGAGGTTTAACCGACGACTGACTATCCCGGTCATAGACATATGCAGTACGTGGAATTATCCACGGATCATCCGCCAGCAACATGTACAAAAGAGGAAACCAAGCAACAGTGTGACAATACTGTAGAAATACGGCCTCCGGTCAGTCTAAAAATATCAAGATCAATTGAGATAATACATTGGTTTTTATTTGTATTTTAAATAATTTAATACAAGCTCTTTT